ATAGAACAATGGGGAAGTGGAGGCAGAGGAAAGACATCTAAGCAATAACCATAAATGGAGAAAGTACAGGTGGACTCACTGTCTTGGATCATGTTCTTTAAACTTTACAAGAGTGTCAGAGAAGAGAAAGTGCTTAGAAGCTAATTTAAAGGAACTGGCACAACACAGGTAACTACTAGTTGCTTAGAAAAATGAGAAATCAACCACATTAAATTCTGTAAAAGACACAAGCTTGTAAGAAATGGAGGAAAAGAAAATGAAGAAAGCCAGGAATAATGAATAATGAGTGTTACAGGTTTCAATCATGGCGCACACACACACACACACACACACAAAGAAACAAAACAAACACAAAACAAAAAATACAGAAACAGTAAACCAAAAACATAGGAGGAGAAAAGCTTCCCTTTCTCCTATTATTTTTTTCAGTATGCTCAAAATTTGACAAGGGCAGTGTGATTGTGTTTATAATGGTAAGACTCGGCCATTACCATATTAATTAATCAACTAATTAATTAATTAATTAATTAACTAGAGAGTTTTTTCCATGGTTTATTTTTTAAATTTAGGTTAACACTCCCAAGGAGAAAAAAGGGAGGCATGGGACGGGGAGTGCTGTGCATCCATTATCATGTCCTTTCCCCAGCACAGCCTGGCACCAGCTGTCTTCACAGTCAATAGAAGTCAGGGCATCAGTTCACACATCTTCCCTAGAGATGGCTGTGTCCTTCATACCTCAGCAGCTTGGATGACAAAAAATATTCAAAGCATGGTGAAAAGCCAGTTTTTTTAAAATTGTAGTCAAATTGGGTACATGTACTCTAATTAATTCCTATAAGAACCAGGAAAATCAAATCATGTTCAGTATGTACTTTATTTGACTTTAAGGGTTGAATTTAATTTAAATATTATATAGCAACATAAAACTCTCATAAAAGAGTGTCTCTGTTGGCTAAAAAAATAACATTTCAAAGAGAACAATATTTAAATTTAAAAAAAGCTTGTGGGGAAAAATGATGTTTTCTCTTGTTAGTGTATACACATATGCAATTATAATATATAATTATTGCCTATAAAAGATACTTTTGGATGGAATGTTAGAACAATGAGATCACATAGCCACAAAATAAAGTTCACAACAATTCACCAATAAAATTTAGAATGCTCTTTCATGCTCCCAAGATGAAAGTATTTCAAAGAACACTGCTCACTCACCCTCTTCTCCATCGTCCTTGATTAGCATAGAGTACCATTAATACCCACAGAAGTGGTGAGTCCTCATTCTCACCGCCTTCCTTCCATAAATAGGGAGGCATTAAAGGTAAGCTCTAGTTAACACCTGTAAAGTGATACCTACAGATTTTCTGAAAGTGACAATATTGGTAAAATTATATGTTACATCTGATAAAAACTATGTGCTACAACTGACAAAATCAATCTTAGTTAAATGGTTTTTGTTCTTTGCTCCTGGGCAAATATTTTCAATGAACTAAAAGCCCTCAACATCACTAATTTAAATGTTTATGCTAAAAAATTTCACAAGACACCTTATATTTTTTTTTCTAAAACACACGGTGCTATATCACTACTTATACATGTAATATCTAAGTAATTGTCACCTTATTCATATCTACTACATGCAAAGTAGACATGAGGCAAATCAGATGCTCAATAAACAGCAGAGGCTTGAAAAGTTAGAACAAGCCATGTTTCCATGTTTTCATTAATCATCATCACTATAAGTAATATTCCATGACATCATAAAGTTTATCAGAAAGTCAGAGAAAAATATGAAATAACTAGAGAATCATTAATGATAAAATAAGGTTATATAATAAATAGAATAATTTTTAATGGAAGTTAAATGATTGAACAAACAAAAACTTTCATCACATGTGTTCTTAAAACAACAAACGATTGTGCATCAAATATTTATAGATTAACATCAATTAAAATATAGCTTGTTATAAAAATAATGATCAACTTGTATTCTGTTTCTATGTTGTCACCAGGAAGCTAGATGATGTCCTCACAGTTCTATGGAAACTAACTTGTGTCTATAGAGGTTTTTTGTTTTTGTTTGTTTGTTTGTGCTTTGACTACTGAAAAGTTAAAAACTTTTTTTAGCCTGTGACTCTATTTTCAATATTTAATTAACATATTTATTCTGTTAGAAAATCTTAATAGTTTTTCCCTCCAAATCTTCACCAATCCCTGTCTCCTCATAAGCTCTTACAATCAATAATCCACCTGGCTTTGAACTCTCCATTGATGGCATTTATATTAATATAACAAAAAGCAATATATCAAAATTAGAACACCACATTCAAAGTGAACTTTTCCCAGGTTGTTCTATTTTTTTAAGTTCACAGTTAATAAAAATTTAAATGTGAGTACATTTTCCAGTGAAATAAAACTTGATCACTCTGAAAAATGGGGAGATAAGCCACACCAAATATTCAAATCTTTGTTGAAATTGCATGCCAGTCAGACTTCTCCAGCTAGCTAATTGAAACAGCATTATACATTTTTAGCAAGAATGGAGCATCTTTTAATGATGCAATCAACCTTCCTGTTTATTTCCTCTCTCTATCAATTAAAAACAGAGAAAGATTTTTAGATGAGATCCATACAAAGTTTATACACTGCAGACTTAGAAAGTTCACATCAAACATCCTACCCGTATAGTAACCAAAATTTCTAACTTATAGACATATAGACATATATAACATATATACATATATACACCTCAAAAGTGTTAGGAATCCCAGGAAACCAGTATCCACTTCCCAATTGAGGACAAACTTTCAGGGCAAGGAAAATTTGAAAAATTCTAATCCAAGAAAAAGATTATGTAAAGATAAACATTGTCTCCACAATGAATGTCAAGGCAAAGCTGAAAGGGGATCTGGGAGGAAGGGAAGCAAAGACATCTGTGGCCAGAAGAGGAGCCATGCAGGTCATGTACTGGCTGCACACAGGGAAATTATCAACTATTTCTATTTAAAGAAAACAGTTGGTCAGAATTCGAAAGAAATGGCTAATACTCTCGACCAATCCCCTTGTCCATAAAATAAACAGCAGTAGTTCTAGTAATTCAATAACAGCCTCTTACCACTTCACAGTGATCGTTGCAGAATCTTTCTCAGGCTAAAAGTGTAATTGGCTACAGATCAATAAGTACTTTCTCTTATAAGGAAAAAGGTCTTGTTTGCTTTCATATATATACATACAAACATACATACATATATATATATGTATATGTATGTATATGTATATGTATGTATGTATATATATATATATATATATATATATATATATGCACAGGCCTAAATCAGAGCTGAGAAAATATATTCTGAAAGTCACAATTACACTAAGCAGCAAGATTCCTTACTGCCCTGTGAAGTTTATCTCAACTGATCATTTATTTATGATGCTATAAAAATCCAAATGCTTTCAATTTTGATTGTTAGGTATTTGCTGAAAGGCAGCTGAAATTACTTTCTGAGGGTTGCCATTTTATGACAAGTGCATTTTGAATGGAAATTTACAATGGTTCAATAATGGTTGTGCTGAGGTGTTATTTTCTGTTTATTTGTTCCCCTAAGATTAGCAATGAATTTACCTCTTGTGGTCAGTGTGAAACTTTACATGACTTATTGGAAATTCTAGAAATCAAATGTAAATAATAAGATTAAGAAAAAACTAACAAAATCTTTTGGAATTAAAACTTTGTCAATCTGTGATGATGTAATGTAGTGACTGGTGGTTTTCCTAATTAGCTTAGAACTGATGCATAGAGCTAGTTTCTATCAAGAAAGAAAATGTTTGAGGACTTAGCACTTGGTAAAGACAGAACATGGAGAAGCAAATGTAAACCAAACGAGAAGATTTGCATGATCAAGAGACTCAGACAATTAACAATACTCAAGTAGAGGCTATAGAGATTCAACTGTATCTGAAACTTCAAGAAGAGCATCCTCTAGATGAAGCAAGAACACCTTAGAGTTTTTGTTTGCTGGCTTATTTTTAATGCTGCTGGGGATGGACACCAGGGTCTTGCACATGTTACACAAGCCCTGTACCACTGATGAACAGATCCGGATCTAGAGTTCCTTAGATGTTGTATTTTACTCTTTGTGATTTTGTTAAACAACAACAACAGCAAAATACTACTATCCTGTGTGTATTCTTCTTCATGAATTATACAGAGAATTGTAGAAATGAAGAATTACAACTGTACTTGGTAATTCCTTAAAAGTAGAATTGAAAATAAGAGTCTGAGCTATAAAGTGCATTATAGGAGCTGAGGAGAATGCCTCTCTTTTGTAAGCAATTATTCAGCTTTCACTATGCACTGGAGGAGTCTCTATGTGGAGTTCGGCAGGGCTAAGAGAGAAAAAGACCATTTTTCAAAACTTTCCTGACAGCTATCAAAGCTAGTACAAAATGACCCAGAAACAATCATGTTACCATTTTCATGTCCCCAACTTAAATCCTCACATCTTTCAAGTTTCCTTCCCTCATTCCTCCCACACCATATAACTTTAGACAATTTCTACTCTGGCAAGAAAAGAGGTAAGAACAGTGAATCCAGATCTTCAGATGTCACCAATACCACAACCCCCCTGCTTCCAGCCAGATGGTAGAGTGCTACTGCACAATAACTTACTTTATTAACTTGAAAAATCTTCCAAGAGATGATATTCACTCCAAAATGTCTTTGCAAACACAAAATTGACATAATTTCAGATTCAAAAATGAAAGTAACTTTCCTCCTATTATGAAGTACATGCTAACAATAACAGTGACGCTATGGTTTATTAGCTCTGCTTCATATTCATATTTCATTTTGGGGAAAATCCAAGAAAAAGGTATATTCTTATATGTACTTATACATATGTGTGCATATATATATATATATATATATATATATATATATATATATAATTAAAGTTAATAGCCAAGAGAAAATGCTAAGCCTGTTGAAAAGTACTTACTATGTGAAGTTCAAGGTAGTCACCCAGGCCTGAGGAACTGTCCACACGCACCAACACTGCTTCCTTCTGAACAGTGCTAAACCCGATGGCCAGCCTGTCTGCTCGTGTACTGGGTCGGTCATTAGGAGGCCACTTATATGTAATCTGTCCACCACCTTTGCTAAAGATATATGTTGTTCCAGCTGTAAAACAAAAGACACATGTCTTTAGCATCAATATACTAAGTCTGTGTTTCCTGATGTCATGTTGATATAGCAATAAACATTGGCATTACACATAGAGATATGGAAAAGCAAATGATAGGTTTCAATGAAACTTGCTCAAGAAAGAGGAAGCATTGTAACAAAAACAGAGAAGTCACTCAGTTTTTAATGTACTCATTAAATCCTCTAGCAGGTGTTGCAGAACAAATGGTGGATTTCGATTTTCTCAATTGAGTTGGACAAGCATGGAATGTAACGGGCTTTCATTTTTTTCCTGCCAGTTTTAAGAAATAGTTTAGAAGAAAGCATTGACTGAAGGTTTTAGAAGGCAGCGGGAACACATATCAACTTGTTTGTGAAACAAGGGCTGCATATAGATGTGACATGGGTCACACAGCACAGGGGAACAAACTGCAGTAAATAGACTAAAATCAAAGTTTTAAGGGAATTGGCTCTTCTTACATATGACACAAGAGAAGTTATTAATTAATACTCATGTACCCCAGAAGTCATGTCAACAAATACACGTAACAGATGCCATCCATGGGTTTCAGGTCTTATTAACATGTAGCATCTAGGGTCTGTGAGGTAACACAGCATCTTAGAGAGTCCCTCATCATTTTCACTTCTTTCAGGTAAATATTGGTTTACAGCATGGAGAATAATGCTATAGTCTGTCATCAGTTAAGACTGTACCATAGGATGAGATACCAGGCATTATCCAGTTTATATAAAGAGAGTTGTTTCAAACCACGAGAATACCACATTGCTGAGTTGTGAGCATCTCTCACATTGAACACAAGGAGCTCCATGAAGAAGAAGGTTTGGAAGATATTTCAGACAGAAAATGTGTAAGAAAGAATAAAGGAGCTTGAAGAGATGGCTTGGTGGTTACTAGCACTTGCTGTTCCTGTGGAAGTCCCAGGTTCTATTCCTAGAACCCACATGGTGGCTCACAACCATCTGTAACTCCAGGTCCAGAGAAAATCCAAAGCTTTCTTCTGACTTCTCCAGGCATCTGGCATGTATAGGGTAGACATGCATACATGCAGGCAAAATATCCCTACCTTAAATAAAATGAATAATCAGAGAGGGAGAGGAAGAAGGAGTGAGGTAGAGAGAGGGGGAGAGAGGGGAAAGAAAGGGAGAGAGTGGGAGAGAGAAAATAGAAGTAGACCTGAAAGTAACAGTCTATATTTCCAGCCACTAGAGACACTAAATAGAAAAATCACAAGTTCAAGCCCTTCCTGGACAACAGATTTAATTCATACCTGGGCTAGACAACATAGTAAGACCTAGTCTTAGAATAAAAGGACTAAGGATTTTCAGTGATAGAGTTTTCTCCTAGAAAATGCAAAGCAATATGTCTAATCTCCTATAATAAGAAAGAAAAGACAGAGGAGAAGAGAGGGGAAGGGAAGAGAGTGCCCATTGGTTAGGGGTGGAATCTGAAGCATCTCCCATCAGCTCATAGGTTTAAATATTTTATCCCCAGGTGGTAGCACCATTTTGGAAGGTTATAAAACCTTTAGAAGGTAGAGTTTGAGAGAAGTGAATCACTAGCTGTGGGCCCTCAGGTCTCACAGCCTACTTCTACTTGTCTGCCCTCTGCTTCTGGACCCAGTATAGATATAATGTCAACAGCTGCTTGAGACTTTTGTGCAGACCTTCCTCCCATTATGAACTCTATCATCACACTGTGAGCTTCATACTCTTCCTACCTTACGTTGCTTTGGTAGGGTGTTTTGTCATTGCAGTGATATCTTTTACGTCCTATGTTCCCAGAAGTCGCTTCACCCTTGTATTACTAAGTAAGTATTCTTTGTACATTTTAAATTTTTTATGGCTTGCTATTTGCTATTTTTTAAAGATTATTAAAGAATTTTTTAAACTGTTTCCATGAAGAGTGTCATCAAAAATGCAATGCTTGAGAAAGGGACTATAGCCATCGCATAATTGTAACTTGTACATATATTTAATTATTAATTTTCTCTTTGTAAGCCACTTTGTTCTCTAATGCATTTGAAATAAGGAATACTCTGAACAAGAGTTATTCTTTAACAGAAGAAAACCAAACTGGAAAGTCTTTGAGAATAATCCAAATGAAGTCATGTTGTAAATAACATTGGCTTAAATTGCATGGTGCATCTTAATATTTATTTACTCACCTATGTATTTATACATTTATCCATTATTATTGTTATATTTTGAGACAAGATTTCATTCAGGTTGGCTTTGAACTCCTACCACTGCCTCCCTACTTTTAGGATTATAGCCTGAGCTTTAATACCTGGCTGAATGTGAACTTTTAAAAAATTACTTTTTGTGCCTATTTCATCATTCCTTCAGTACAGAATAAGTATCCTATGTCTTATTTGAGGAGGTTCAGTTAAAAGAGGTAGCTGATAGTTAACCTTTGGCTAAGTGGAAAAGCTAGTTTAACTCTGGCTTATAGACTCCTGCCCAGAATGTATGGTTTCATTACACTTACTGTTTCTATTATATCTAAACACCCAGGAAAAGTGTTTAACTGGATATTATAGTCTACCGCATCAAAACTAGCTACCACATGTTAGTAAGTCTTGGGATTAGTCACATTTTCACCTTATGACTATGTGCTTGCTTTTCCTTCTGTCTCACAAAGCTTGAACACATAGACAAATATTGGTGAGATTGCCTCTCAAAATTCTCTATAAGTATTTCTAAAGGCTTCATTATTGGCCTGAAGGTGTTTATCTAAATGTTTATAGTTTTGGTTAAATAATTATAATGTAGATATACTTATTCACAATTTAAATTAACAATGTAGTCCCAGTGAGACCTGGACATTTTACCAGCTGGTGATGCCTGTTTATGGTGACAGAGACCTGACACCAACATGCTACCAACTGATTGTTCATATGTGTGGTGACTTTATGATTCTTTAGGTTCACTAAAAGAAACAAACATGATGATTTTATCTCAACTCCCTTTTTTCTGCAGGTTTATCTAAGTGGTGCATTCTTCACTGTTTCCTACACTATCCTGCATATATATCACAATCATTATACTGAGTGCAAACTCAACATCATAGTGTCATAATAAAGAAAATAATTAGACTGAGAGTCACTCTTCTGCTCATCCAAGCATGCATGCTGACTTCTTTTCTAAAATTCAATCTTGTATCAAACTTTTAAAACAATCTTTTATATTCTTAAATCCCCCCTTCCACACAGTTAGAAAATAATGCTCATAATCAAAGAGAGAAGGACATTGGGCTGAAATACCAAACTCTACTTCAATGAGTATATGTCTTTGCACATTATAAAGATGATACATTTGCTGCACCAGAACTTAGAAATGGTCACTATAAACTCTGCCTAGGGTGGACCTCATTTCAAATTCCAGCTGTATCATATAATACTCACAGGACCCTGAGCTCAAGACTTATTCTTTATTTAGGACTTCCTATTTGAACAGAGGGGGCCAGCATCACTGCTTTCTAGAACTTATGTAGGTATATGAATGCATGCACAGAAGCACCTGGGAAACCCACATTCTAGTATATGGTAAGTGTTCAGGGAGATGTGTGTGCATATATCTGCATGGGTATGTTGTGCATGTGTTTTGTGTGTATGTGTGTGTGTTTGTGGCTAGGTGTATGTTTGTGTGTGTTTATGCTTGCCTGTGTATACCCAAAGATCAAGAAAGAATAAAACAATAACATTGCAACTGTACTGGCTTATTTTCCTATTAGCACTTTGAGAAATTTTGGATTTATTTCAAATTTATTTTCAAACCAATTGCCTTTTAATAATGGACTTTTTATACATCACAATTTTTATTTATCATCCTGTGTTTCATTCCTTGCATTAGCACTGTTCTTCTCGTGAATCTATCCTACAGTTGCTATTTACTTTTACTAACAGTAGACAATAGAAGTGATATTAAATTACAACACACAGGAGGTTTTATGAAACACAAAATATTCACTCAAAACCATAGCAAAGCTATTTTTATAGCACAAAGCAAATATTCACTTGATCATTACATAAATTATATCTATAAAAATGAACTAGAGCCTAGTTTTCTTTTAAAAAAATCATTGTTCTTATAACAACATGTGTTTTGTTATATGAATGATTTAGAGAGATAGGAGCATATGATAATGGCAGGTCCAAGCTTTATATCAATGTTGAAGCGTTTGAAGCAATGTGGTTCTTTGACCACTTACACTTGTTTCTAGGTGCCAAGCATTAATATATCAGTGAGTGAGGACAAACTGACCTTGGCATCTATCACCGCACTAAAGCATGTGGACCACTCAAACTTAAAGTGGATTTTAGCAATCTCTGCATTTAATGCCTTTCAGTGGTCTCTATTACTCATCCTAAATTCATTAACAAAGCTGGCATCATCAAATTCACATTCTCAAAGGTCAACATAAATTATGCTGGATTGGGTGCTGGAAAATATTATACATGGGTTTCAATTTCTATTTGCATTGTCTGTGGTGTTATAGTGAGAAATATTTTCAGCTGTTAATGAACACAAGTATGTACATGAAGAACACACTTTTCCTGCCTACTCTCTCATCAGTTGTCCCCTCCCACAGCACTCCCATTTCAGACTCACTTTACTTCAGCAAAACTCATATATTCTCCTTAATGTCTTGAAGCTCTCTGTAAACGAAATCCAGTCATTTTGCACTGAGCTGTTCGATTATTGGTTGCTTCAGTTCTTGCTACATATACAATAATGTAATTAACGTCTGAAAAGATTAGTTTTTAACTCATAAGTACATGAATAAAAGGTTGTTTTTGAAGGCCTGTAATACTTCAAATGTCATCCTGTAACCAACATGGGACATTCAGGCCATTATGCTTCTATTAAATGTAACAGCGATACAGTGTTTTATTCAGAGAAAGTTACCAGGATGTCAGATGAAAATTAAAACAATTATCAATGACAGCTTTTATTCCTCCTATTAGCATGTTGAT